CTGCTTCTGGCTCTCAGTCTTATTCTTACAGTAGCCTCAAGACTTATCCATCTATACAGCACGGATGATAAACTATCTAGGTTAATGGTGAAAAGGTTCTCCACAGTGAGGGACACCAGAGAGGTTCATTGAGTTACATGGAGAAGGGAAGAGGGAGGAAGGAGATAGCAGTGACTAGGAGGAGAAGAGGGGGAGTCAAAAGAGAGACTGATCTAGCCAGTAATCAGTTCCCTAAGTGTTCTCCACAGCCCGGAACACCCAAAGAGATTCCCAGAGTTAGGTAGAGAAGAGAAGGGGGAGGGAGGAAATAGAGGTGACCTGGGGGAGAAAAAGGAGAGTCAAAAGCGGGAGAGAGCAATCGAGCCAGTAGTCACACTCCGAAGTAAAAATGGGTACTGAAGGTTGGATTCTTAAAGGTACAAAATTGATAACAAATGCCAAAAAGCAAAGATTAAAAATCTAGAATAGAAGTTGAACTCTCAAAACTACAATATGAAAGAAACAAAACAAAACCACAAAAATTATAAATATATATATATGAAATTTGCTTTAAAAATAGGGTCTTTTTTTTTTTTTTTTTGCAAGGTAATCAGTTCAGTTAAGTTCAGTCACTCAGTCGTGTCCGACTCTTTGTGACCCCATGAATGGCAGCATACCAGCCCTGTCGTCACCAACTCCCAGAGTTTACTCAAACTCATGCCCTTCAATTTGGTGATGCCATCCAGCCACCTCATCCTCTGTCGTCCCCTTCTCTGCCTGCCCCCAATCCCTCCCAGAATCAGGGTCTTTCCCAATGAGTCAACTCTTCACATGAGGTGGCCAAAGTACTGGAGTTTCAGCTTCAACATCAGTCCTTTCAATGAACACCCAGGACTGATCTCCCTTAGGATGGACTGGTTCGATCTCCTTGCAGTTCAAGGGACTCTCAAGAGTCTCCTCCAACACCATAGTTCAAAAGCATCAATTCTTCAGTGCTCAGCTTTCTTCACAGTCCAACTCTCACATCCATACATGACCACTGAAGTAATAAAGAACTTAAAAATTAAAAAAAAAAAATTAATGATAATAGTAAAATATATCCAGGAATTTCTCTGGAGCTGTTGAGGGCAGTGTGGGGTCAGTTCAGTTTCAGACAGTTCCTTGTTCCAGCTTATACTTCTTCTCAAGGTCTATAGGCCCCTTCCAATGTAGTCAGTGCTAACTACAGGGTTTTAATCTGTTGCACCTGTCACTTCCAAAGTGGTTCCCTCTTCTTTGTTTATTTTGGCTTCCTCTGTTTGCAAGTCTCCTCAGTGTCTAATTTCTGCCCTGACACAAGGGGTCGAAAGCAGTGACTTATTTAGGCTAACTTGTTCAGTTGTACTGTGGGGAGGGAGAAACACCACAAACAAAGATCACTGGTGTGTGGGGGCAGGGCTCACAGTGTCTGGGCCACACTGGGTTTGTCCCCACTCATGACCTGTGTGTGTTCCTAGTCTACACTGCTCAGGCTCCAGGTCGCTCTGCAGGGGAACTGTCTAAAGCAGGCCCTGGGTTGCGTGCACTTCCCAGTCCTAAGCTGCTCAGGTTCAGTTTCTTGGGCACTCCACAAAGGCACAGACTCAGTTGGGCCTGCGTTTTGGGCCCTTCCTAGGTCCGAGCAGCTCAGGCGACCAGGTGCTTGGCAAGCATGCTCTCCCAGCTGGGTGGTGCGTCTTATCACTTCCCTGGTCCCAGTCACTCGGTTTCCAGGGTGTGCAGCAGGAGCACCATCTCAAGTGTGCCATGTGTCTCCTCTGGGGAGCTGATCTCTGACTGCGACCCTCCTGGTGGATGTCAATTGTCCAGGATCCCAGGAAGACTTGGTTAGTAACTGGGAGCCTGCGCACAGTTTGGTAGAGGATGCCAGCTCTGGGGCAGAGATTGCCCCTTGCCTTCCAGCTCTGGCTGTCGCCTGCTTGCCTCTCTACCTCTGGCAGGGGGAGGGGCTGGTCCACAGCCAGCTAGCTCTCTTCTGATATTCGCTCAGTCCTTTGTTCTGTGAGCAGGCTCAGCAGTGCCTTAGGTTAGAGCTTTTCATGGGCAAGTTCTCTCTTTCTCTTTTCTTTTTTTTCTCTCTCTGGCTTTCCCACAGTTTGGGTCTCTATCTCACGTTAGCTCCCACCTGTGCCTCCCTGTTCAGCCCCCACTAGCTGCTGGCAGACGCGAGCGTCTGAGCTACTTCTCTGCTAGGAGTTGCGGTTAGGCACATAATTTGTGGGGGGATTTTCCCCTCCCAGTTCTGTTGCCCTCTGAGATTCCAACTCCCCACAGACCCATCGGTGAGAGGGTTTTCTGGTGTTTGGAAACTTCTCCTTCATGACTTCCTCCCCGAGACAGGTCTTTGTCTGTAACTCCTTTGTCTCTCTTATTATGTTTTATGTTTTGTCCTACCTCTTATCGAAGAGAATGGGCTGCCTTTCTGGGTGCCTAGTGTCCTCCACCAGCATTCAGAAGTTGTTTTGTGGAATTTGTTCAGCATTCAGATGATCTTTTGATGAATTTGTGGGGGAGAAAGTGGTCTCCATATCCTATTCCTCTGCCATCTTAGGACTGCCCCCACGAAAACCTGAGTGCCATCCTTTAAGAGCATCATCTTTTAGGATTTTAAATAAAGATACACAAAACATCATCATTGGATGTTACTAACCAAAGTTTTTATAGAAAGCAAGATTCTGATGACCATATATTCGATATCTTAGAACTTTATAGTCAAGTTAAAGAGTTTAGTAAGATCGGCTGGTTGTTTCTAGCTGTCCTGGAGAAAGTACTGAAGGAAATGGTTGAGGTTGGGGATTCAAATTCCCAGCCCAAACTATACATAAATGACCAGAAATATTCTCAGCCTGACCTGAAAGAAACCTTTGTCTCCTGTAACCACAGGGCCTCAACCAGGGCTGAGATATGTGAAAACTAAATCCAGAGTCTCATCCTTTCAGTGTCTGAATTAAACGCAAATTGATTTCCCAATCTTCTGCCAAAGTGTGAGCATTTATTGGAAAGTAATGGGAACCTGAAATTGGAATGGGGACACATGGGAAGATACCAGTGAAGCTGGAAACTTTAATGTTTAGCTAGCATTTAGCTAAGTTTAGCTGCTCCTAAGTTTAGCTCCATCTTCTTTACCAGTGATGCATTCCAGAACCAAAAAAATAATTTTAGGATGGTTTTGGGTATACAGCACCAGCTAGGTGACAATAGCTTGCATATCTGAGGTAAGGTTCTCCAGGAGATTGTATATGCTATAAATTAATGGCCAGTATATGGTGCTATTTGTTATTTTTTATTGCCCTTTAGTTGATTTGCAATATTGTGTTAGTTTTAGGTGTACAGCAAAATGATTCAGATATATGTGTGTGTATATATATATATATATATACATATATCTATATATTCCTTTTCAGATTCTTCTCCATTATTATCAGAAGATATTGAATGAAGTTCCCTGTGCTATACAGCAAATTATTATTATTTGTCTACTTTATATATAGTAATGTGTATCTATTAATCCCATACTCCTAATTTATTCCTTTCTCTCTTTCTCCTTGGTAGCCATATGTTTATTTCTATGTCTGTGAGTCCATTTCTGTTTTGTAAGCAAGTTAATTTGTATTGGGTTTTTTGATTCCACATATAAGTTATATCATATAATACTTGCTTTCTCTGTCTGACTTCCTTCATTTACTATGATTATCTCTAGGTTGATCCATGTTACCACAAATGGTGTTCTTTCATTCTTTTCATGTCTGAGTAATATTTCAATGTATACACAGAACATCTTTATCCATTCATCTGTAATGGACGTAGGTTGCTTCCATGTCTTAGCAACTGTGAGTCTTGCTGCTATGAACATAATGCTGTCTTTTCCATTGCCAAGATTCACATGTCCAGTGCCTTTCATAATTATTATAGTGTGAAGTGATTGTATTAGCAAAATGTTTTTTTCTTGTCCCTGCAACCTAATGTTCTGTTAGCCTAGATGTCTTAGTTCTAAAGATAGAGAGGCTTCCATTCAGAAACACAACAATGGTAACACTGAATTGAAATTAAGACTGTCATCTGGCCACTTTAGGCTCCTCGTGCCTTTGTATCAAAGGCAGTTTCTGTACTGGATTGATACTGAATACTGAAGTGAAATTGGTAGGTTCCTTATTAATGAAGGTAAAGAGGAGTAAGTCCAGAAGAGAGGTGATATTTTGGGTGACCCTTTAAAACTATTGGTTGCCCAAAAAGTTCATTAGGGTTTTTCCATTCCATTTAATGGAAAAATCTGAATGAACTTATTGGCCAACCCAATATCATGCCTGCTCATTAATGTAAATAGAAAAATGCCACAGTGCAATTCAGGCAGGCTAGTTATGGTCCAGCTCTTTGAAGAATAATGCTTTAAGTCATCTCACCAGGTGAAGAACCATGACCAGCTGATGTGCTTTCTGAGGGCAAAAACAACATGGAGAGGGTGGTGGAAGAAGGTAGTTATAATATAGTTATGACCACATGTAAAGAATCTGCTTGCAAAAAAAAGAAGAATCTGCTTGCAACACAGGAGACCTGGGTTCAATCCCTGGGTCAGGAGATTCTCTGGAGAAGGGAATGGCTATCCACTCCAGTACTCTTGCCTGGAGAATTCCATGAACAGGGGAGCCTGGTGGGCTACAGTCCTTGGGGTCACAAGCAGTTGAACACGACTGAGTAACTAACACTTTCACTTTCTTGACCATGTGACCAGTTACAGAAATGAGGGCAGTAATTATTATGAGTATTCTTCCTTATTTTGTTATGAATATGACTGTGTGTACCCACTTGTATCAGATTTTTTTCTTCCTTCTCTCATTCTCTTCACATATAACATGAGATATATTAATAACCATTAACCACACAGCATTAAATTCCAGGATATCAGGGAGAAGACTGACCACCAACCAATGACTTTCCATTGTCTTGAGGGGAAAGAGTGAAGCATCTTTCAATTACACACAGGATCATTGGCAGAAGTATGACTTTATTTGCAGATTAAGTATGGTTTAAAGGGATACATAGGAATGCCAGGTGGAAGGGGTGGGATGTATTGTCTGCTTTTATGTGTCAACTTGAATAAGCTGTAAGTGCAGGTAATCAATTAAACCAAAGTCCAGCTATTGTTGTGAAGATTTTGAAGATATAGTTAACATTTACAACCCATTGAATTCAAGAAAAGGAGATTCCCTTCATAATCTTGGGGAGCTTAATCCACTCACTGAAGAGCCAGAGAGCAAACTTCTAGAAGCTGAGAATGCACAAAGAGACATTCTCCCTTGAGTTCCTCAACACCTTGGCTGTAGCTGAGTTAAATCAATTTCAGATTTGTGATCTCCTAAACTATCAGATTATAATTTTGTGTTTATGTATGTCACTAGATTCCTGGTAAATTCTTGTAGCAGGAAGAAGAAACTAATAGAGGGCAGACAGGCAGAAAGAAAAAAAAAAAAAAAACAGGGAGACGGCATACAGGCTGGAATAGGGCAGGTGATGAAGAGTTAGGTGGACAGTCAGAGATACAGGTGAGTAGGAGAAGGGAACAAAAAAAGAAGTAAGAAGCCTGAGGATGGGTGAGAGAGTCTGATGGGCAGGAGACAGATGAGATGAACTGGCAGCCAAGCAGGTGGAAAGAGGGAAGTCGGCAGAGAGGCAGGCAGAGGAGAGCAATACGAAGATAAGATGGCAGGAAAGAGTCCCTCACAGCTTGTCCTTGTCCTTGCAGATCTTAAGTGAGACTCCTGAGTTGCAGGTAGATCCCATTCTTGGACTTCAGCACAATTCCTGGCAAAAGGCAGGGAACCCTGGAGGGATCCAGTGACAGCTCAAAGCGAAGCAAGGTCAGGGCCACAGCCACCTTCATCTCATTCATGGCAAACTGCTTCCCGATGCAGTTCCTGGGTCCAGGAGGGAAAATGAAATGAGAAGTGGTCTCAAATCTTATTCTGAGCTGGGTAGGCATTGGCCACTGACCAGAAACAGGATATTCAGAGCTGTCTTCCTTGTGGCCAAGCCCTGATCCCTTTCTTACTAGTCACACTAAACTTGCCACCCAAGCCTTGGTCCACCCTCTCCCTGTGACCTTTGACAAAGCCCATCTCTCTAAGGACTCCTAACTCCTACTTCTTGTCTCACTAGAAAATCCCGTTGGTGATGGTCAGCACTCCTAAGTCACAGAGTCAAGTCTAGTGAATCAGGAAATGTGAATTAGAACTTTGTTCACTGGCCCACAGGCAGTTTCTGGTTTCAGGCAAGGCAGGGCAGTGTAGAGGGTGGGGTAGGTCATATCTCGGGTCCTTGTCATGTATGGGGAAACACAAGGACCCGAATTTCCATACAGGACAAGACAGGATTGTCTAAGGAAGTCTAAAAGGCAACAGGGAGGTTTCCTGGAGAGGTCACAGGTTAGTGACCCTGAACCTGCTGGACCAGTTGCCTCCCAGTTGATTATCTGGCCTCCTGTGTCCCCTCAGGTCCTCAGTCAATGTGCCTCTGGAACCTTCTCATTCTAATCCAGAAATGACACTTTAACCATCCCTTGTGCTCCTCAGCTATCCTTTTCAGTCTCCCTGCTTCTTCTTCCTCTTCTAAAGCCACAGCCTCTCCAGGCCTGCTATGCTCCCCATCACAGTCAGGACGATTCCCAGTGCTTCAGCTGCATCACAACCCTCTCTGGATTGTTCCTCACTTATCTGGGGTCTGTCCAGCTCCTCTTCTTCACTCAACTCCTCTTAAGATCCCTTCCCCACACCTCCTTCAGCCACAGGCTCAAGGCTCAATCCAGTGAACACCTGTCCTCATCCCTCTGCTGACAACACACTCTTCTTCCCTGGATCCCAAATACCATTAGTGTTAACACAAGGACACATCACTTGTGTCCTGTCCCAGGATGGTGCCAGGAACATGGAACCTTCCATAGTCTGCTCAATGAATGAATGAATGAGTGAGTGAGTGAAAGAAAGAAAGAAGGAATGACATCTCTTGAATAGAGGTGGTTTTTTGTTTTTGTTTTTGTTTTGACCATGCCATGTGGCTCGTGGGGTTTTAGTTCCCTGACCAAGGATTGAATCTGGGCCCTCTGCAGTAAAAACACAGAGTTCTAACCATGAAACCACCAGGGAATTGCCAGAGTATTTGTTTCTTGATGGTGAGCTCTTGAAGTCAGGGACAAAGTCTTTTGTCTCAGTGTCCTCAACTCCTAGCCCAGGATTCCCAACACACAGAGACAGTCTCAATAGTTTTGTATTTAAATAAAGTTAATTGAATCTTTTAAAAACGGAGTAAAAGTAAATATTAATTCTGACCTAGGAATTGAGCTGCCTAGTACTTCTTGTCCTTGAATGGCAGTCACAGGACATGTAGACATGTCTACAAGGAAGGACTGGATCCTGGCACAATCCAAATCCTAGAGCAAATTCTGGAAGACAGTTTGACTCAAACCTGTTCTGGGAAGGTTGATTCACTAACTGAAAATTTCACAGAATTGTAGATTCAGAAAGAAACTTGTTTCTACTAAGAAGCTCTAAGTTTATGGAAGCTAGTATTTCAGGGCAGGATTCTAGCAGCCTGGGAGGATTTTCCCAGCAGCTGATAGAGAGTGCTTTTGCCTAGCTCACAGCTCTTTCAAATATGCTGTATATTTTACATGCCAGGAACTTTTAAAATGCATGTGTCCTATTCAAATTAGTGGATTTTTCTCTCAAAAGCACTTGACTGTCTCCTTTCTGTACTTTTGCCGGCTTGGACTATTGGACTCAAAGTATAGTATCACGAAAAAAAATCCTAGATCACAGGAAAAGTTTTGACAACTGGGGAAACTGTCATGTGATTCAGATGTTAGTATGCTGTCAAGATGTCTTTTGGACAGACCACAAGACAAAGTGACACATATTGGTATCAAACTTTCTTGAAAGGCAGACATAACTTTTCCAGTGTCTGGCTTCAATAGTTAAGACAGGTAGGGCATCTGAAAATGGAAACATGCAAACTACTTGAGATTCAACATGATGGAGAATGGTGATGTAAGTAGAAAATGTGTGACTGAGAAGATGTAGGATAAAAAAAATTCACCCTTTAAATTTTGACAATCGAAATGGATGACATGAAATTTAACATTTAGTGAGTAATTCTCATTTTGTAGAGTCATCATTACAGTGAAGAAAACATTACGATACACTAAACTTTTAAACAACATTAAAATGTTGCCAGCCATTGAGAAAGAGCTGTGGGTATTCTGTGGCCTGCCCTAATAGCCATTTGTCTTTTGAACAGAGGACACACACTTCTATCCCAACTCACCAACATAAAAGGCATAACTACATGCACCACATGTAAATGTAGACAGTCACACACATTGAGTGGCACCCAATGACACCCACTGTCCCAGGTACAAAGGCCTCACCTGGATCCTCCTGAGAAGGGCAGGAAAGCATGGCTGTGCTGATTAGAACCCAATGCAAACCGAGATGGGTCAAACACCTGCAGAGAGAGCACCGGGACCAGGACAAGTGGGGTCAAACTTCTTGCCCCAATCCACCAGGGAACAAGAATCTCAAAGCAGGAGCAGGAGGAGGGGTTGGTGTGGAGAGAGCATCCCATCCCTTTCTTCCACGGCCATTGTACCTCTGGGTTCGGCCACACCTTTGGGTTGTGGTGAAGTCCATAAAAGGAGAGGGCAACTTTGATTCCTGTGGGGAAGGGAGGAGAGAGAAAAGCCTGATGGTCCCCATGTAGCAGGGGGCAGGTTCAGCACAAAAATCCTGGGAGCCACCATGAGAACCACCCTCCATCACTCTGAATGAAATGATGCTCTTGCAAGACAGGTGGACTGAGCATGACAAAGCACATGAGCACAGATTAGGAGGAGGTAACCATGTAAAAAAAGGCTTATACAGGGATCTCTGTTCAATGTTACATGGCAGCCTTCATGGGATGGGAGTTTTGGGGAGAATGGATGCATATATGTATATGTCTGAGTCTATTTGCTATCAACCTGAAATTATCACAACATTGTCAACCAGCTAAACTCCAAAATAAAATAAAAAGTTAAAAAGAGAAAAAAGAATTAGAGACTTACCTTTGGGACCAAATCATAAGACAACTCACATTTATCAAGTGCCATCCTGACCCTTGGGGAGTGTGAATTAACTCAATCCTCACAGAGCCCTCAAGGAAGGCACTCATAACCTCAGGTGCAGATGAAGCACCTGAGCCTCAGAGAAGTTATGGGTTGGGTCTATGATCCCACAACTAGGAGGAAACAGTACTGGGATTCAGACCCACTGTGAAGTGAGCCAGTGGGTGGCCTCCAGCCATGGCAGGGTTCTCAGACCTCATCATCAGCTGTTCTCTGCCATCCATCAGAGGGCTCCTCAGAGACTGAACCATCTGACCCATGGCAGTGGAGTTTCTGAGCTCCCTCCTTTACTTAGACACCATATGGAAGAGCCACGCCTCCCCCTGCTTCTGTCTGCTTTTCTCTGAAGCCTTCACATCTCAAGGAATTAGAATTTTAAGCTCTATTACAAGACCACATTCAGAAGGGAGCATTTGCCCATTGAGCTTTTGCTGTGTTCAAGTTCTGTGTCAAGCATTTCACACACCTTATCCTAACTACAGAGTAAATAATTACCTTAAGGTAGATACAATAGTCATGTCATCCCACAACTGAGAAAACACATGTGGCTTTCTGGTCTACAACATGGTCCTACAGAGTGCTTAGGTGAGTGGTGAGGTGAAGTTCATACCTGCAGGTAAGGAGCGTCCATCAGGGAAGGTGATGGGCTTGCTAAGATTTCTGCTAATGATTGGCACTGGTGGATAGAGTCTCATGGCCTCCTTGATGCACATGGTGGTGTAGGGCATCTGGTCCAGGTTGCCCCTGAAAGGAAGCCCATCTGAGAGCAGACAGGACAGGACAACCAGGGATTCTCTCTAGCTCAGGTGGAACAGGGTTCTTCCATCTCCTGGACACTCACCAGGTGATGGAGGCGCCATCTCCCAGGAGGCTCTGGATCTCTTCCCGACACCTCTGCTGATGCTCAGGGTGGGAGGCTAGAGCATAGAGGATCCAGGAGATGCCACTGGCTGTGGTGTCATGACCCGCAAACATGAACGTGTCCACTTCGGCACGGAGGTCCTTGTCAGACAATCTGCTCCCATTCTCCATCTGTGGAGGCAGGGCCAGAGTACAGGGTCTGCCCTTCCTGTGTGCTTCTGACCAATGGCTCAGGCCTCTCCTGCCCACACTCACTCTGGCAAAGAGGAGGATGTCCAGGAAGTCCAAGTGTCTCCTCCTCCTTTCCTTCCCCAGCTCTCCCTCCTTCTGCAGGTGAGCCTTCCTCTCCTTGATCACTGCGTCTGTCTCAGAACAGTGGTTCCCAGCCAGAACTGAGGATTCTGGGGGCCCAGATGCAGCACCCACCATAGCCCCATCTGCCCCTCGGGCCCAATCTGGGTGCCAGGTGGATGAGGTGGGTGGGACTGGGTGAGCATGTCAGGATTGAGAGCTCCAGCGTCATCTACTCCAGGCAGCAATTCCCACAGTAACACAGCCCATGGAGACTCTGCCTGAATGCTGCTGGGAGGGGGTCTCACTCAGTCATCAGCAACCTGGTGACTCCTGTAAATCCCTACACAACACCTGACACCCTGACTCAGGGTTCCCAGTCCCTGCAGCAGGTGCATGTGTGCCAGCTCCTGAAGAGGAAGCAGGAGTCTGGACTCTGCCTGAAAGGTCAAGGTCAGGCCCTTTCACATGAGCCTGATGAAGGTGGGGGAGCAGCCCACGAGGAGGAGAACCTGTGTGTTGATGGACGAGCTGGCAGGCCTGGTGGTTCCAGCGGCCTTCAGGGGTCAGCCTGTAGATGAGGTCATTCTGGTAGAAAGTGTTCCTCACTCGGGAAAAAAACAGATTGTTGAGGTCCCTAATGGCCTGGATGTAGGACTGGGAGTTCCTGAAAGGGAGAGGGTGCAGAAGAGACTGGAGTTGAGGGAGCTTCTGACCTGGAGAGGGAGTGGGTCTCTGGGTGGAGGATTCCTCAGTCAGTGGGGACAGGCAGCACTGAGGCATTGCCATTTCTGCCTTAGCCTCTGAAACCCTCAGTATTTACAAGTGTCCTGAGGGCCCAGGCTTCTCCCTTTGTTGTGATCAGGGGCTTGACTGTGGTCCATGTCTCTCTGCAGAATGTTACTTTTTGTGCTGATAAGCATCCCTGCCGCTCTTCCTGCCTCCCAGGCAAGTCTTCCCCAGCTGATGAGAACAGGACCCTGCTCTTGAAAGGCTGTCACTGACCTGTCATTCCTGATGCTGCCCTGGTGGCTGAAGGCGCACTTCATAATGGTGTCCAGGGTCATCAAGGAGATGTCTTCAAGGATCTCCAGACGTGAGTCCTGGGTGATGAAGTCCTCCCACTTGTCCTGTGGAGGGAGGGTGACATGGACCCTGCTCTACTCCCCCAGAAGGCCTGTGCTGCCAAGGCCAGGCTTTCTTTCTGCCTCTACACCATCAGATGAGATTTCCTCAATTTCTAAGTGATTATGTTTTAGCAACTGGGGGCTGTAACACACAGGGGTATGTAAAGTGATGCTTATTTTCTCAGAATTTTTGTTATATAATTAGTCATATTCTCTCATAATATTCTGAATTAGTTCTGAATTTTATAAACTTTGATAATAAACAACTTTTTGAAGGCCAAAATGCATCATTTCTCAGGAGACATAGGGGGAATATTTTGTGTCCTGATACTGGACCTAGTCAGGTGATGTCCAAGACTGGTAAGCAAATCTCTCAAGGCAAGATAGAGAATAAGACTACAGTACTAGTGCCTCCAATAAAGGGACATCAAAGACTTCCTTTCCTTTCATTCATTAAGCGTTAGCTGAGACCAGTTGGTGAGAAATCAAAATCCTAATTGGTGGTCATGCAATAGGACTCAGCTCTGTGAATGTAGACTTTGTCCCATTTTCTCCCATGAAGAGCTCAACTCCATGCAGAACTCTTCGGCCCCATGCCAGAGCCCACCTGAGTGGTATCCTGGGATGTCTACCCTATCCCTGAAATTGTCATTGCCCAGGCCAGCCAGGGGCACCTTGGGCTTCTTTCGAGGGGCATGACTCCTGCTCTATTCCACTGTGTTGAAGATGTGGAGGTGGGAGAAGAGTAGACCCTGAATACACCAAGGCTCTGTTTTCCCTTGTTGAGGAGCAAATTGTGGATCCAAGCTGATGCCTACATGCTCCTCTGTCCAATACAGGTTTGGAGAGGGCTGTCTCATGTTAAGTTATGAATGTATCATTCTGGGAGGCTGTGTCTGATTGATATGTAAGGACACAAGTATCCGAGAGCGGACTTTGCCAGCTGTGTTGGATGTGAGCACGTTCAGGTGACCAGGGATGAACTCACCAGCATCCCTCGGACAGAGTCGGCCATGAGACCCAGGTAGGGCTTCAGGATGTCATAATGGAAGGCTGGGGTCAGCATCCTCCGGTGCTGGAACCACGTCTGCCCCTCCAACAGCAGCAAACCTGTCCCTGAACCACATATGGGTGTGTATGGGAGTCAGGGAGTCTGGATCAGAGGAGCAACTGGGTACAACTGGGGAACCAAGGGTGTCAGGAGAAGGCACATCATGGACAAAGGTATAAAAGGCCATATTTTCTATTTGTATATATAGAATATAATATATATAGTATATTTCAGGAATGTGAATTTCCAATATGTCTGTCCATAGGATTTGATTTCGACAGCAGTGAGATAGAGGTTGATAAAGTTAGGGGGGCAGGCCATAAAGGACTTATCTAGAAGTCAGGCTGCAAACATTGGAAAGGACTGAGAAGCAATGTGGAAGAGGCTGAACTTCAGGAGGGCTCTCCACACCATTAAAAAGGATGAGGGTTTTATTGGAAGAAGAGAAATGAGGCTTGATTCAGAGATGAGGATGATGACAGGGTGCTTGGCACTTGTTGTTCTCTGTGAGTCAGAAAGTCAACTCTTGGTAAACCTAACTGGGAATGTACCAGAGTACTAGTTTAGATGTACTTACCCATCCAGGGGACCAAGAATCTGTAGTTATATTCAGGTTTAGGGTCTGAAAGGTAAGGAAAGCATAACAGGAAAGTGGGCTGGACCAAACAAGGCAGGCAGCCCCCAGAGTAGCTGTGTTCCAGACCACTGGTTGCCTTCCCTTCCTGATGCTTGTCAGATGGCAGTCTGTCTCAAGCCACCTTCCACTTGCCTCCCATCCCTGACTCTCTATATCCTGATCATCACTGTGGGTCTAGGAAGGCAGACTCAGTGTTCCAGCAGCAGAACACCAGCCAGACTAACACAGTGAATGGGCAAGAAATATAGGCTCTGTTTAGTGCCACAGGGTAAGACAGAAACCTGTGATTTTCCTGCAATATACAATGGTATAGCCATCCCATGACCCAGGATAGGCAAATGCAAGTCAGAGTAGATAAAAAATTGTCTTTTAGATCTGGGACTATTTACATAAACATTATCTCAATAGGGTTAAGGGAGAAAGAAGGAAACTATGCAGTCTCAACCAGCTGTTTCAAGTTTAGAGTAAGGTAAGTGAACAATGTTGTTCTTATACTGGAATATGGCCTGGGTGTTTGGATGGTAATGAGTTCGGGTATTGATGACTGAACTGCCAGTCTCTTCTGGAATTTCAGACCCAGGAGGATGTACACAGATGGAAAAGAGACTTCAGCTGGGATCATGTTTTGTACTCACCAGATCTCCCCAGGACCACCTTCATGTAGTCAGGGTCATAGACAACAAGGTGAACATCGTCCCCCCACATCCAGCGAGGATAGGCACAGGGGAATTCCTCTACCCTTTTCAGTAGCTCTTGTAGCTCCTTTTCCTTTGAGAACTATAACAGAGGGCAAGATCAATCAGTAAAGTGTTCCCTTTAGGATCAGTGATGGGAGCAGTGCTGGCGACAGGACAGCAACATGGAAATAGTTCTGGAGCTATCAGCAGCTATTTAGGACTTTGGAACTGCTTCTGAGAAGCTGGGATCTGATCTGGATTCCTGCTCACTTGCAGTGACTTGGCCTAAGGCCCAATCCTGGCTTCCAGATGGATCCTTTATAGGCCCTTACCCAGAACTGCCTTTAGAATCTTAAATATAGAAGGTGCTTGATAAATGTTTAACAATGGACTCCATGGTGTACCAATGTTTTTCACAGACTTATGTTGGAATTACTGGTTAAACTGTGCTGGAGAAGACTGTTGAGAGTCCTTTGGACAGCAAGGAGATCAAACCAGTCAATCCTGAAGGAAATCAACCTTGAATATTCATTGGAAGGACTGATGCTGAAGCTGAAGCTCTAATACTTTGGCCACTTGATGTGAAGAATTGACTCATTGGAAAAGACCCTGATCTCAGGAAAGATTGAGGGCAAGAGGAAAAGAGGGAAACAGAGGATAAGATGGTTGGATGGCATTACTGACTCAATGGACATGAGTCTGAGCAAACTCCAGGAGATAGTGAAGAACAGGGAAGCCTGGCATACTGCAGTCTATGGGATCACAAACAGTCGGACACGACTGAGCGACTGAATAACAACAAATTAAATTTAAGTGAGGTCATTAGGTACACCCAAATCGTATGTGACTGGTGTCTTTGTATAACAGGGAAAATGCAGACACAGAGACAGACATTCAGAGAAACAAGATGAAGTAAAGAGACATATGGAAAAGATATGATTTACCATCTTTACCAGGAGAGAGTCCTGGAACAGGTGCTTCCTGCACCTGATGAAGAAATAAGCCAACTTGATTTTCAGCTCCTGTCTCTAGAACTGTGAAATGCTAAATTATTTTGTCTCAGCCATCCAGTTAGTGGTACTTTGTGGCTGGTGTTATACACTATTGGGGCTTCCCAAGTGGCACTAGAGGTAAAGACTCCACCAGTGAATGCAAGAGATGCTAGGGATGTGGGTTCCATCCCTGGGTTGGGAAGATCCCCTGGAGAAGGAAATGGCAACCCACTCCAGAATTCTTGCCTGGAGAATTCCATGGGCAGAGGAACCTTGTGGGCTACAGTCCAAAGAGTCAGACATGACTAAGCAACTGAGCACTTACACACTATTACAAGTATGCCTGTATGTGTGCTAAGTCACTTCAGTCATGTCTGACTCTTTGTGACCTTATGGACTGGAGTCTGCTGGTTTCTTTGTCAACAGGATTCTCCAGGTAAGAAAACTGAAGTGGGTTGTCATGCACTCCTCCAGGGGATTTTCCTGACCCAGGAAATGAACGCACGTCTCTTCTATCTATTGTACTGGCAGGCAGGTTCTTTACCACTAGCACCACCTGCAAAGCCCTATTACAAGTATAGGGTTGGCTGAAAAGTTCATTCGGGTTTTCCATAAGATGGTAGAGAAAATCCCAAAGGCACTTTTTGGCCAACCCAATATGTAATATTCAAGGCAAACCTATATAAGGGAGAGATTATTGCTTGATTCTGTCTCACTGAAGAATGAGGAAACCCATGTAAAGAATATATACCCAGGTGAGCTCCATTTAAACCCAAACCTGCTGACCCCAAGATGTTTCTCTCCGGGGCTCCCAAGGCTCCTTGGGTGACTATATTGTCACATTTCAACTCAATGTCCTCCCATCCAAGTGCTAATCAGGCCCGACTCTGCTTAGCTTCTGAGATCAGATGAGATCAGGCATGTTCAGGGTGGTACGGCCATACACTCAACTTGGGTAGCATGTTGACAAACTTCCCTTTAATATCTGTCGTTCCTGTGTTTTCAGAGCTGGCATAGAGCATATTCATAGGGATTATGCCTCACTTTTCAAAGTTTCAATGAACGATAAGTTCATGAAGAAGGAATGAGTGCATGTAGGAGTGATGAGTGAGTTTTAATACAAAATTCTGGTTGCAAGTATCAGATAGAATCAGAACAAATGTAAGAAAGAGGGAAGCCCAAAAGTAAAGCTAGGGCTCAGGGGCATCTCACAGAGCCCAGGGGCAGGGGCAGCCAGGGTGTGGAAGGGGAGAACCAGGGACTGGAGGGCTGCCAGGGCTGCATCTCCCATTCTTTCTCTCTTTACCTCCATGCAACCATCCCTCTGCAGGTGTCTATGGCACCAGACACTTTATAGGTGTTGGTGATACAGTCATGAATCAGCAGACACAGACTCTGTCCTTGCACAGCTGGGTCTGGGCAGGGGAGAAGGGAATGTCTACCCTTCTGGGGTTGGCACGTTTCCCCATTTTGCCACCATTAAGCCTGAGGGGACCTGTTGAATCCTATTCCAAGACTCTGATTCTAATATCATGGCCAAGGTGTTCACTTGCTACAATCAACTGTGGCTGGGGGTGAATAGGCCTTCAAAGGCCTACCCTCTGTGAAGGATGAGATCTCAGAGCAAGTGAGCTGGGCAGACATCCCATAGTGTTTCCACCACAGTGAATGTCAAGTACATGAATGAGTAGGTGGTTAGATGCACTCAGTTATTCATTTATTTGATACCTATGTGTTGAGTACTTACTTTGGGTCAATTGCCATCCTAGGAGCTAGAGATTCAGCAGTGAACAACAAAATCTTTGCCATCAAGGAGCTCCTATTCTAGTAGGAGCTGACAATCTTGCCCTAAACTGAGACATGTCCTGCTTGAGCGCATTATGGGGGCTTCTCTGTTCTCCCAGATCTTGTTCTTCACTGGGGCTACCCTGCTTTATTAGTCCTGTGCAGGGACTGATCAGTGCGAACCTCTTTCCTCCCCAACTGTATTACCTAGTTTTCTTGGATATCCTCTGGACTGGATGGTAGGGGCCCTGGCAAGGGTGAGGGTGTCCTGTTTCTACACAGGAGCATGCTTCCTTTCTTATTACCAGTCAGCTTCCCCAAATCCTGCCCCTTGGCAAGAAGTTAAACTATGTTCTACCTGTCCATTCTCCTCTCAGGGTCATCCTGATGCCCACTGGTCTATGAGCCCACATGTCACCTGGCTGGGGCTGCCATCTTTCTTGAGCATGTCTATCCAGAACCAGTTGAGACTCTCATAGAGGTCATGGTGCCCATGGTGGCAGTCGTGTTGACCCTGTTGGCAAAAACCCAGTGCCATCTGGCCTCCAGGCTGGTATAGGCAGGGCTTCAGTGGAATGTCCTCTCCTGGTGGCTTCTGGGAACTGTAGCCACAAAGGAATTTCCCCAAAGAGAGACACAAGGTGAGTAAGTGGACAAGTAATAATGCCATCTGATAATGCAATTGTCTGGTGTATGGGCTCTGTTGGCATGGTAGATACATCTGAGATAGGATGGAGAACATGAGGAAAGATGGAGCAGTTTGGGGTTATTTGAATCACAAAGTTGTTAGTTCCCCTTTTCATATTGTTGGATTTCATCCCTATTTAATGCAGTGAGTTTGTTGAACCTCCAAAATGTTTGTCCTTCACAAGAATTAATGTTATTTTAAATTCATACAAATTAGAGTGAGTATAACTGTAGCCTTTGCTCTGTGCCAGGCACCATTCTAAGATTATATAGTACTTCACTTAAATACTATAAGTATCATCGTCATCCTGTATTACAGATGAGGAAACTGAGGTGTAGAATGGGTGTTTAAAGTGAGTGACAGAAGTAAGATATGAATCTAGGTGACTTAGCACCAGAGCCCATGTGCTTAACTGCTCCTCTTTGTCACTTTGTCACATGTCATCTGGTCTGAAAGACTAGCTTCAACCTAATTACATGTGGCATTCCTAACTTAGCCAGTAACAGAGGTATTGAATAAATGGAAATCTCAGACCATATTAGAAGAGTAAGAAAAATTTGGCTGCAATATCTATTAGACCAGCAGAAGTTGAGAGATGACTCAACACCCTGAGGAATATTAGTTATGTAAATAGAAACCATCTACTTACTGAAACGACATATTCATCCAACGACCATCAGTATGAAGAGAGTCATTGGAGGAAATTTCAGTTGTTCCTTATATCAAGTCCTATCTCAGAAAGGTGACAACTGCACCAAACAAAAGGTAACAATTACCCTGAATCAATAAATAAATGAGAAGTCTTTAGTACAACAACTTGCATGAACAGAGTTTTGGTTACCTCTCTGGAGTTGATATTATTTCCTCTGTCTTTGGCTCTACTCTGCTGAAAATTGCCTGGCCTCATTCTTTGAGAAATAGAAGCTTCAGCTCTCTGCAATACCCTTCCTCCTAAGATTTGTTCAGTCCACCACCATTAATGAGCCCCTCTCCATGTGCCCTCACCTTGTCCTGTGCCATCCTCTCCGATCAGGGCTAACAGAGCTACCTGGTAGGCACTGTCCCTCACCAGCAAGCAAGCAGCTCCTTTCTGTCACTCCACATACCCTGGGCCAAACATTCCTTTGTGTAAGGCTCTGTGCTGGGTACTAGGGAACAGGATGGGGATCATATTCTCAACCCCATAGAGCTCACAGTCCAGCAGTTTGGAGGATGGGAGCTGAGAGGTAAACAGATTCTGTTTAATGTTGCAACTCAATTGCCAATACTCCTTACCTGGCACCATCCTGGAAATCTCGCTCATGCAATTCAGCTACTAGTTTTTTATTGAAATCATCAGCCTTGAAAAATCCCTCAGCCTCAAGCAAATCGAGCTGGTTTTGTCCTACCCCTGATTTCACTACCACCAAGTAGGTGAGCCTCATTTCCTGTGACCTGACACCATCTGAGATTCCTGTCTGTTGTCTCCACACACAGTGAACCAACAGGGCTGATCCATCAGACTGACATCTGTGCTCCCAGGCAAGCTCAGGACCAGGCAGGGTGGGTGGGATTGAGGAATGGGCAGGGAAGCATCTGGAAGCCTGTTCTAGGAGGACAGCTGAAGGTGCTCAGCCTGGAGAGTGGGGAGACTCAGGAAGGAATAGCCGTTGTCCTCAAGAGGCAGGGCTTCCAGGACAGCCTGAGATCTCCCTAAGGAAGAATGTCTGACAGACCCAAGGATACCAGCACAGGTCCCGGGAGGAGTGAGCTCCCTGGACAGGGTGAGTAGCCAAGGCCTGAGAGGTTAGCTGGGTTCTTTCATGAGGTCAAGTGCTGGTCACACAGCGAGGCTTTGTCCCATGAACTAACTGACCATGCCCATGCCCTAGAACCCTGGCCCTCCCTTTCCTCCCACTCCCCAATCCTGCTCCATCCTACCTTCAAGCTGTGCCCACAGAGCCAGTGGGAAGGAGGAGATGGGAACTGATGAAATACTTTGAGCAGCCACTGTCTGCGCAGGTAGAACTGTATTGCCTTGAGCAGAAGTAGAACCAGGCTGAGCAGAGAGACCACCTGCAGAAGCCCAGAGACATCACCCAGGGCTCTGGTGAGGCTCAGTGCAGACACACTCATGGTGCAGTGGGTTCTGGGTTGCTGACTGTTCCTGATTGTGGCTGACCTTTCCTGAGCACCTAACTTGGTCTGGGAGGATCTCCCCGCCCACCTGGGGGAGGGTGATGGTGAAGGCAGAGCTCAGACCTAAGCCTCCAGAGTTAATTAACTGTGGAGGATACACCTTGGGTGGGCCCTCCAAAAGGTCATGGAGATCAGATATAAAAAGAAGAGCAAGGTATGAAGATTTACCCTCAAGTCTATCACCCTCATTTTTTCATATTTATCTCCATTCAGGCAGTCTGGCTCCAGAGACTTTGCTGTTAACCACAAACTTAAGAGACGATTATTGGGTTGAGACTCTGGTTCATACACAGCAGCCCCCAAACTTTCCTGGGGATGTTTCAATTTGATCTGTTTTCCAATGTTTCCAAGTAGCTGTAGAATATTTCCAGTTATCAACTCCATGTACTGGCTTGAGTGCAAGCTTCACCATCTTCCAGGGCAACTTTTGTGAAAAAGTGTGGGCAAACCACATGGTTAGATGTAGTAATCATTGAAAATGATGTTTATGAAGATATTTCAATCATCTGAGAAAAACTTATAACAGAGTGGTCAAAGAAGAATGTACAACTAACTGTCTGTAGAGTATAAGCCTAACTCAGAAAAATTGTGTCAGGTGCAGTCAACATTTATTAACCAATAAATGTCTTTTCCATTCATTTGGTACCTAAACAATCCAATCAAGGATGCCTTGAAGGTTGTTACTAGGCATTCTATGTCATTATACTTTCCATAGTCTGGAACAGAGGCTTGTGCCCTTCAGTTCAGTTCAGTTCAGTCGCTCAGTCGAGTCCGATTCTCTGTGACCCCATGAATCGCAGCACGCCAGGCCTCCCTGTCCATCACCTACTCCCAGAGTTTACTCAAACTCATGCCCATCGAGTCAGTGATGCCATCCAGCCACCTAATCCTCTGTCGTCCCCTTCTCCTCCTGCCCCCAATCCCTCCCAGCATCAGGGTCTTTTCCAATGAGTCAACTCTACACATGAGGTGGCCAAAGTACTGGAGTTTCAGCTTCAGCATCAGTCCTTCCAATGAACACCCTGGACTGATCTCCTTTAGGATGGACTGGTTGGATCTCCTTGCAGTCCAAGGGACTCTCAAGAGTCTTCTCCAACACCACAGTTCAAAGCATCAATATTTCGGTGCTCAGCTTTCTTCACAGTCCAACTCTTACATCCATACATGACCACTGGAAAAACCATAGCCTTGACTACATGAACCTTTGTTAGCAAAGTAATGTCTCTGCTCTTTAATATGCTATACCCAATAAATACTTACTGATTGGATGCATGAATGTGGGATGGAATGAGGATAACTTTGGATTGGTTAGATCACCATCTTCCTCTTGAACAGACTGGGTTCAGTTTGGGGTGTCATATTTTAAAAAGGAAGTTAATATTTTTACTCCAGGATGCTTCCTGGTTCAGCTTATAGGCAACAGAAAGGCAGAAGAGGGAGCAGTCTACTGCTCCCTATCTACTAGAGTAGTCTACTCCCTAGACTACTCTATCCCCAATGTGGCAGCTTGAAGCAATTACTCCTGTGGGCAAATGACCCCAGATACTTATTTCTGGGTCTGATAAACTTAGGTTTGATGCTGATGTGATTTATCCTAGTTTGTTTTTTAAAAAAATATTTTATCCAGGTGAAATTCACAAATTACAAAATTAACCATTTAAAAGTACATATTTCAGTGGCATTTAGTACATTCTCAGTGCTGTGTAACACTGAGACACAACTTCTATCTAATTTCAGTTTTTCCATTGCTTCAGCAGCAGAATCCCTAGCCATGAAGCAGTTTCTCCCACTCTCTTCTGATAATCCCCTGGAAACCAGCAACCAGTATTCTGTAGTTTACTATACTGTATTTACTTTTACTCCTCTACAAAAACTGAATCTGCCATATAGACACCTTTTATTTTTTATTTTATTTTTTTCATTTGTTTTTATTAGTTGGAGGATAATTACCTTACAATATTGTAGTGGTTTTTGCCATACATTGACATGAATCATCCATGGATTTACATGTATTCCCCATCCTGATCCCCCCTCCCACCTCCCTCTCCACCTGATCCCTCTGGGTCTTCCCAGTGCACCAGCCCCGAGCACTTGTCTCATGCACCCAACCTGGGCTGGTGATCTGTTTCACCCTTGATAATATACATGTTTCGATGCTGTTCTCTCGAAACATCCCACCCTCGCCTTCTCCCACAGAGTCCAAAAGTCTGTTCTGTACATCTGTGTCTCTTTTTCTGTTTTGCATATAGGGTTATCATTACCATCTTTCTAAATTCCATATATATGTGTTAGTATACTGTAATGGTCTTTATCTTTCTGGCTTACTTCACTCTGTATAATGGGCTCCAGTTTCATCCATCTCATTAGAACTGATTCAAATGAATTCTTTTTAATGGCTGAGTAATATTCCATGGTGTATATGTACCACAGCTTCCTCATCCATTCGTCTGCTGATGGGCATCTGGGTTGCTTCCATGTCCTGGCTATTATAAACAGTGCTGCGATGAACATTGGGGTGCACGTGTCTCTTTCAGATCTGGTTTCCTCGGTGTGTATGCCCAGAAGTGGGATTGCTGGGTCATATGGCAGTTCTATTTCCAGCTTTTTAAGAAATCTCCACACTGTTTTCCATAGTGGCTGTACTAATTTGCATTCCCACCAACAGTGTAAGAGGGTTCCCTTTTCTCCACACCCTCTCCAGCATTTATTGCTTGTAGACTTTTGGATAGCAGCCATCCTGACTGGCGTGTAATGGTACCTCATTGTGGTTTTGATTTGCATTTCTCTGATAATGAGTGATGTTGAGCATCTTTTCATGTGTTTGTTAGCCATCTGTATGTCTTCCTTGGAGAAATGTCTGTTTAGTTCTTTGGCCCATTTTTTGATTGGGTCATTTATTTTTCTGGAGTTGAGCTGGAGGAGTTGCTTGTATATTTTTGAGATTAATCCTTTGTCTGTTGCTTCGTTTGCTATTATTTTCTCCCAATCTGAGGGCTGTCTTTTCACCTTGCTTATAGTTTCCTTTGTTGTGCAAAAGCTTTTAAGTTTCATTAGGTCCCATTTGTTTATTTTTGCTTTTATTTCTAAAATTCTGGGATGTGGGTCATAGAGGATCCTGCTGTGATTTATGTCGGAGAGTGTTTTGCCTATGTTCTCCTCTAGGAGTTTTATAGTTTCTGGTCTTACATTTAGATCTTTAATCCATTTTGAGTTTATTTTTGTGTATGGTGTTAGAAAGTGTTCTAGTTTCATTCTTTTACAGGTGGTTGACCAGTTTTCCCAGCACCACTTGTTAAAGAGGTTGTCTTTTTTCCATTGTATATCCTTGCCTCCTTTGTCGAAGATAAGGTGTCCATAGGTACGTGGATTTATCTCTGGGCTTTCTATTCTATTCCATTGATCTATATTTCTGTCTTTGTGCCAGTACCATACTGTCTTGATGACTATGGCTTTGTAGTGTAGTCTGAAGTCAGGCAGGTTGATTCCTCCAGTTCCATTCTTCTTTCTCAAGATTACTTTGGCTATTCGAGGTTTTTTGTATTTCCATACTAATTGTGAAATTATTTGTTCTAGTTCTGTGAAAAATATCATTGGTAGCTTGATAGAGATTGCATTGACTCTATAGATTGCTTTGGGTAGTATAGTCATTTTGACAATATTGATTCTTCCAATCCATGAAAATGGTATATTTCTCCATCTGTTTGTGTCCTCTTCAATTTCTTTCATCAGTGTTTTATAGTTTTCTATGTATAGGTCTTTTGTTTCTTTAGGTAAATATACTCCTAAATATTGACAGAGTGACTTCACTTTCACTTTTCACTTTTATGCATTGGAAAAGGAAATGGCAACCCTCTCCAGTGTTCTTGCCTGGAGAATCCCAGGGATGGGGTCGTACAGAGTCGGACACGACTGAAGTGACTTAGAAGTAGTAGTAGCACTATTGAATCTATTGATTGCTTTCAGTAGTATATTCACCTTAACAGCATTAACTGTTTCAATCTATTTAATCCAATGTCTTTCCATTTACTTGTCTTCTTTAGCTTCTTTCAGAAATGCTTTATTCTTTTTGATGCTGCTGTAAATTGCCTTTAAAAAGTTTCTTTTTCAGATGTTCATTGCAAGTATATAGAAATACAAGTGATTTTATATGTTGATTTTATATCTTGCAACTTTGATGAATTAGTTTATTAGCTCTAGCAACTTTTTGTTGATTTTTTCAGGATTTTTCTACCTATAAGATCTTGTCATATGCAAAGAGCTAATTTTACTACTTTCTTTCCAATTTGAGTGCATTTCTTTTTCTTGCCTAATTGTTCTGGCTGAAACTTCTAGTACTATGTTGAATAAAAGCAATGCAAGTGGGCATCTTTATTTTTCCTGATCTCAACAGAAAAATTCTCAGTATTTCACTATTGAGTATGTTGTTACCTGTGGATTTTTTCTATGTAGGTGTTATAATTTTTGAGGATGTTTCCTTCTTTTTCTAATTTTTTGAGTGTTTTTAATCATTAAAAGGTGCTGAATTTTGTCAAATACTTTTCCTGCATTAATCGGGATGACCGTGTGGCTTTTTCCCCTTTGTTCTATTAATATGGTGTATTATATATATTGATTTTTATATCTTGAACTACCCTTGCATTTCTGGAATACATCCCATTTAGTCCTGATGTATAAGCCTCTTAATATACTATTGAATCTGTTTGCTAGTATTTTGTTAAGGATTTTAGCATCTATAATCATAAGAAATATTGACCTGCAGCTTTCTTTTGTTGTGGTATCTTTGTCTGGCTTTAGTATCAGAGCAATGCTGACCTTGTGAGAAAGGAGGTGTTTATTCTTCTTCAACTTTTTGCAAGAGTTTGAAAAGAATTGGTATTATTTCTTCTTTAAACATTTGATACAATCCACCAGTGAAACTATGTGACCTGGACTTTCATTATTTGGGAGGCTTTTGATTACTGATTTGATCTCCTTACTAGTTACAGTTCTGTTTGAATCTTCTGTCTCTTCATAAGTCAGTTTGGCAGATTATGTGTTTCTAGGAAACTGTCAATTTTACCTAATTCGTTAGTATACAACTGTTAAT